AGCTTGGCATAATACAGGAACTTTTTTTTCCCAGCTCATAGCTGGAAAGATAGGCACAACCAGAACTTGCTGTTGGTGGCACTGTGCAGCAAGCACCAGGCAGGATCTCCTCAGGCTGAACATCAGCTCCTTGCACCTTTCCATTTTACACAAGCTCAGTTTCTCCAGGTCTTTGTGCAAGCCACAACATGCAAGCCACAACGTTCTCCCCACAAAAGTCAATCTCTTTAGCTCAAAACAGACCTGAGGATGCCTACATTCTGGCCTGAAAGATTCAAGATGGCTTTTTTGTTTATAGATCTCTAATTATGAACAAGACTCACACAATTTCTTGCTTTCTTTTTCACATCTCTCTTCTTCGAGATGAGCCAATCCTATTCCTTTAAGTCTAACTCTCAGTGGCACTGTACATGGAACATAATGTACAAGGTACACAAAGGGCTGGTCACTAAAACAAAAGAAAAAGCCTTGGAGCGACTACAAACTGCTTTCTATTTTCATCTTTCCTGTACAGAGAGCCCATAAAGACTTCAATACGTTATTGCTCCATGATAAAAACATATTTTTTTCATCCACTTAAGATGCCAGACTCAAGATTTCCTGCTGCAGAACACTTCTCTCTCCTTTCTAATAATGTGTTTCCCAACTGTTCCTGAATGGGATACCTTGGAGACTGCTGGCACAGCTGGTTTACATTTCCTTGGGGCTTTGAACCAGGTAGGAGGTAAAGAACCAGTCTAACTTTGCAATTCAAAAGTGACTTGGAATAAGTGCTATGGTGCATTGCATTTGAAAACAGATACTGCAGATTCAGGCTGTGATGATTACGGGCTTTTGAGATGTATTTCTGCCTGGAGTTGATGCAGAAAGATTCAACAGCCCATATTTCAAAAGGGATTGGAGGAGAGGGAAAGAAGCCGAATGAAACCCATATATTTGGAAACTTTCCCAACAACTGCAATATATAAAGCAGTTTGCTTCCTAGAATTGAGATTCTGGGCTAAAAGTTGATAATGCTACAGTGGTGTTATTCAATAGCAATTAGATGAACAATCCAGTAAATTGTTTTGTTTTCTCGGTCTAATGCAAGCCACTTATCTTCTGATAAACGCCATCACAAAAGAAAAACAACAAAGCATGAATCGCATAAGGGCAAACATGAGGTGAGTGCCTGCATTTTGTCAGAGTTGCAGTTACATTTTTGTAAAGGAGTTTTAAGTTTTTACCCTGATCCAATCTTTTTTCTGGTTTACAAGTGTCCACATATATCCTATAAGTTGTTCTAATCCACTGGCTCAATTCAACCCCAGTATGTCACAAATGCAGAAAGTTTGAAGGTAAGAGTCCACACATTTTATAGTGTAAGGACAGAAGGCAAAAAAAAAAACCTACAACCCAGCATCTAGGCAAAGATCTGCAACTTGGAGTCAGGATGGAGAGGAACACCAACACACATAACCACAAGAAAAGTATTGAAAGCTTGCAGTTAGCTAAGGGCCTAGATCTGTGTGACAAGATCTCATCTGCTTTAGCATTTATGGTAACCTTTCATTAAACGCGCTCTATTACTTAACGGTAAGCTCCAGAAGTGCGTACATCAATCAGACCAGGAACTTCAGGAAGTAACACTTCAGCACAGCAGAGGCAATAAGCAGCTTAGCTCCCTAAACCTGCACAGACCCAGTTCTGCACGCTTCAGAAGCAATGGTTGGTCAAAAAAAAAAAAGACAGTAAATTATAAGTAGTACTGTGGAGAGCCTCAGTTTATAAGGATGTCATTTGAGCTTTGCATCCTGCTGGAGCACTGGGATTTAAAATAAGTACACTGCCTTTGTCCATTTTGATGACAGAAATGCAAACAAACTCAGAAGTTCTAATCGGAGTTAGAAAATGTGATGTGGAGGATTAGGCTGCTCTAGATGTGTGCGTTTTGACATGCACCATTTGCCTGTGGCTTTTTATTGCTAGAACAGCATCATTAAGCCTTACCTAAGCACTGACAGGAAAGAATAATGCAAAGACAGGGAGCATTATGATTCCAGATAGTAAGTTTTCACTTCTGACTGCTGTACATGATCATCTCGTTAAGGGAAAACAAATGCAGTAACAGGCTGTGCTGTGGAAAGTTGGAGCCTCTTACGACTGGAGCTTGTACAGCTTACATGACAGTCTTGAGAAGATATATTGGCAGAAACACTAAATTTAACTTTAAATTTTTATGGCATTGGATTATTTGCAACAGAGAGACTTAAGCAACTTGCAAAATATAGAGGCTGACTATCTTCCAACTGTACCCAAGAGCAACTTGAGATTTCATTCAAGGAAAGCAGTGGAAAAACAATTGTCCTCCTAGAAAACAGGGTGTGTTGGAATGGAAAGAGGCATGACTCTTGACAGCAGAAAACAGCATTGACAGACCACCAGGGCAGCACAGCAGAAAATGCAGAAATAAGAGATCTTTGTAGACAAACAAGACCGTGGTCAGGTCAGTCGGGTAAACAGGACAGAAGTCACAACTTTCTTTAATGTCATAAATCGTGCATGCATGGATGGATGCATTATTTCAGTGTATGAAATAGGGTCTCTCAGTAAAGTACACACAAAGGAAAAGCATGGGAGAAACGAAAGTGACAGCCATTCAAGTGGGCAAAAAGTGTAGAAAATTCTAATCAAGTTTTTGCAGGAAGAAGGAAATACAGCAAGGTGGCACATTATTCCACCAGGATTTGTAACACCAATAAAACAAGGATAATGGAATAGAATGAATATTGCCAATGTTTCCCTTTTTTTTTTTTTTTTTTTTTTTGTAAATAAAGAAAACATCAAGCAACATAGAAATTCTGTAGATACTTTCATAGTAATCTTAAATTATTATTAATACCTAAAGTATTATTTTTCTGTTTAGAGAACTGTATTCTTCATTAGGAAGCCAATGTTACTCACAAAATTACCTCTAAAATTACTTTCCTTTATATCTCACTTACATGGAGCAAAAAAAATTCTCTGCTACCAGGTGAGAAAATGAAGTCAACACCCAAGTTGTTACCCAGCTGCTGATTTGAGAAACTGTATTAGATCTACTGAACAGGTAGAGGTATATGATTTTTTTTTTAAAAAAAAAAAAACAAAACCTAAATGCACAGTAAAGTGATATGGGGACAAACATAACGTTCTACATTGCAAAAGACTATTATGTGTTAGTCTCTGGATGATCTCTACCTTAAATAAAAAGTGTCTGTTGCAAACATTTTAACTGAGGGGAGCAACAGACTGATCTGACACATCTGATGTTGGAACTATGAGGAACTCTTCAATATGACTGAGTCACAAAAATCCCAGATATAATGGAATGCATTACTTAATTGTGTAATAGCTGATGCTCATTTAACAACACTGTTATTGGTAAAGAAAGTTTGTTCAGTGATAGCACAAAATACAAGAGGAACAATTAATAGATTTTGCTTTTCCCTCTATGGCAAGACATGCAAGTTTTGGAAAGCATGGATGTCCAACCCTTTGGCTTGTCTAGGCCAAAATGAGTAAAGAGGAATAGTACCGAGCTGCACATACATACATTGTTCAGAAAGAAATGCCTCCTATGCACACATTCAGCAAGAGTTGATGAATGTGAATGGGCGCCTTATTTTTCTGCATGGAGAAATTCAATTCCACACTTTTGCTCCATCCATGTTTCCATGTCAGATGCCATTGTGTCAGACTGCCCCTCTGCTGACATCTGTCTTATGACAACAAAATGTAATGGGATATTGGTGGGAAGGCTCAACCTCTACTGCCATATCAACATCCATTTCAGACACCATGGTCTAACATCATAAAATAGGATGCATTGTTTTTGAAGCAGCCATCTTAAAAGACGTAATATCATTGATATATTTAAGTAACAAAACATTTTAAGCATTTTTCTAAAAACATTAAAAAAGAGAGGAACAAACTCATATAACTAGTGGGATATTTGACATTGTTTTGTGAAACTAATGCATCAGTCTTCCTCAGCAGTAGTGGTTGCATTCTCAGGGAGCTCTCAAGGTGTTCAGAGATCTTTGATGAAATCTCATTCTTCTTGTACTTTATCCTCGACAACTGTTCACAAACATGCAGCCAAAAAGCAATAACATGAATAAGGTGTGGTTGTGAAGTGAAAGGTATTTTTCTCTTCTAAGAGATGTCTCTCTACTAGACTTTTGTAAGATGTTACCAGATTTCTGAGTTGAATATCTCATTGCAGCTCTATACACTGCATTTGGAAATTTGCAGGTAATGTATTTATATCAACTGAAAACGGTGCCACAAACAAATTCATGATTTTTTTGCTATCTTGAAATCTATTCTCAAACTCCTTTATCAAAACAGAAAGCATGACTGTGTATTCTTTGCTTAGCCAGTGTATCAAAACACATACAATTATTTGTCATCGCTTGAGTCCGTGCTGCTCAGCACAACCCTCCCTGTGTTCCAGTTCACACAGTGTTACTAATGATGGGTGCATGCTCAGGGTCACTCCACAGGGAAGAGCCACCACCCTTACAGAGCAGAGCAAGGCAGGGCGCGCTGCACTGCTAGTCATGCCAGTCTGCATGCAGTCAGTGGATTGGACATGCCTGCTCTATAGCCAGCTGGTCTAAGACTTGGACAGGTACTATAATAAACACTCTGAAGGCTATCAGGGAGAGATGTGTAGTCTATTCTGATCTCTGGTTAACTGCAGATGCTGAAACAGTGCCAGCACTGACAGGCTAACTGACAGTTGCATTTAATAATAAGGTGTTTCAAACAATTCCATACTCCACTTTCAACCCAAGCATGCAAGAACCCAACTATTGGCTGCCTCCCACCAACTCCAGACTCACAGTAAACAAAGAGATCTCCTTAACCTTCTTCTATGCCATATCCCACACCTCCTATCCCTGATCTCCAGGACATTCACCAATCAAAATATATAAATACTTCACATTTCCCAGAAGTGCAGAATTAGAAAAATATTTCCAGTTATCAAAGTTGTTTTAATAAGTTATATTTCAGATGTTTCACTTTCCACAGCAGAAAACGATTCAAAAACAAGATTAAAAAATGCTGAAAAAGTGTTGCGAATTAATTTCGCACAGACAGGCCTGCTGTCTCTGTTAAAGAGCAAATCTGTTGACATTGAATATTTTAACACAGTGATCAGCTCCACAACTTGCAAGCTGCAACCACTCGCTGTTTTTCTGATCATTATGTCCAGCTCTGCCCTCACGATGTCTCCAACACAAACGTTTCACAGCAAGAGCATGGCTTTGGCTGCAACAAAAAGAAATCCATACATAACTGCGAAATGTCAAGCACAGTTGGGTATGTGAATGTAAACATCAACATTTATATAATTAGTACACTTAACTCTACCAACTGAGGAAAAGCTGACTTGTGATAATCAGCAGGTATGAAGTTCTTAAAAATAAGTAGGGCCATTAATGCCAGTGACATTTTATCTTCACGGTCATCAATTATTTAAACAGTTATTGATTTGAAGTTTTGTCATGTTAGGCTGAAGATCTAGCATCTCAGTTACCAAGATAGGACAGATTTTCGGGTTTTAGTATGTCATTTCCTGTCATTTGGCATCCCTTTCAAATTCACTACAAGTACACAGGCCAAAGTCACCATCAACTTTCATTTCTGATACTATCCATGTTAATACATAGAGAAAGAATCTAAGAAAATGTTCCAAGTTAAATATTCAAAGTCTCTCTGTAGAGTTTCTCTTACTGTCACCATAGCAGCACCATATTCAACTTACGATTCCTTTAGTTTTTGCTGTAAGCTGCTCTTTAAAACTTTGTCATCTACTTCAAAATTCTTTGCAAATGTATACAGACAGTGTTCACATTCAATGATTCTTTCCCCCAGCATTCAGTATTTTCTACTATCTTGTTCTCTGGTTAACACTAAAAAAGTTTTATTTTTTATTTTCAGACTATGATAAAAGACATCCGCAGGTTTCCAGGGATCAGTCTTTTCCTAAAAGGATATCAAATTTGTATGAAAATAAAGCAGTTTCATATCATTTTATAACATAAGAAAAAAATTCCAGTACTATCAGTCTTGGTAAGAACACTTAATTGCTCCTAAAATACTTCAAAAGATATACCTGTTATCCATCTCAACACACTCGGTCCAGTCAGCTGCTGATGGTTCTTGTCCACTCTGCTTCCATGTGTAAAAGTTAATCTTCCCATTTTCTAAGCCTATTGCAACAATATACCTATAAAGAGAACAACTGCATTAATTCTAAAAGAACTGCAGAATTCTAAGCACTCAAACAAAGCATTGCAACTCAGCCTTCATAATAATATACACTTTTTTCATGGAAAAAAAAAAAAATCAGTATAAATCAAAGCACCTCCATAAAAATGAACAAAACAGGAATTTGTAAATTCATTTGGTTAGAATAAAAAATATAATACTCATAAGCAGGTTATTACAGCATCAGTCCAGACAACATTATCATAAGAACAAATGTGTCTCAGATGCATTAACCCCCTCTGTCATCCTCTCCCCCCCAACCGAAAATAGGTTAAGGAATGAAAAAAGAATTCAAGTAGTCAAATACTTGACAGCTACATGTTAAGAGCTGTTAAGCCACACAAAATTACTAAAGGGGAAAAACATACTGATTTCAAGATGAATTTAGAATGGCACTATATAAGTCAGCAATACCTTCCATCAGGAGTAAGCACACGGCTGATACTAACGGCAGTAACAGAATCTCCAGCATCCAGTACTGTTGAACAAGGTTTGATTGAATCCAACACACTGCCTTCAGTAGTCACAGATAAATCACACTGACCCCAGATGATGACCTGTGAAAAAGAGAATCATCTAGGAATCCCTCCGTTAAAATACTCCCAGAGCACAGAACAAAGGCGATGACCCCTAAAAGTTTCTACCTACAAAGATTCAACTGCTTAGAAAGTCTGCTTGACTGCATTAAATATATTAATAACAAACACAGATTATATTATGAAAATCCAATAAAACCTGAAGTAGATAGCCATGACAGTTTGTGACATATGCTTATCTCACTGCGCAAAGTTGAGATGCAATCTTGTACACACATATTTGAACACTTTATCCACCATATGAAAGTCTCCCTGATTTCTGTGGTAACATACACTATTGTCTCTTAGTGCTTATAGACCATGAGTCCATTAGAATACAGCACTTGCTAATCTTAAATATACTTAAAATGATTCTGGGCTTTTAAAATTCCTTTTACATTAATTACCTTTTTGTCCCGACTGCCAGTAACAAAATATTTGCTATCTGGCATCCAATCACAGGACCAAATGATTCGACTGTGAACAGCTGTATTTTTGTCTGTGTGTGCACAGCAACTGAAAACTGGTCCTGGAATAAAACAAAGAAAAAACCTTTACTTCAACTACTTTGTTTGCTAGAAGTACCTAGAATAATTAAGAATAATATGAACAGCAGGAATAATTGGACGCCGTTACACTCATCTTTAAAGCACTTGGGAGGTACTTAGTAATAGTATCAGGAGTACTTAGTATTTTTTCCCAACATTAATCAATTGAACATAATTAGTACTGATCCAAGACCACACCACTCAGTCCTTACAGCATGAAAACTGGGAACAGTTTCTTTTATACGCTTACCTGTTTCACAAGAAATGAATTTCAAGCATTACATATCAAGGTTCCATACAAGTTTTTAATAAAAACACTGACTTCAAAAGCTTTAGTATAGTGCAGTTTTTACCATGTGTACACATACACCCAAGCAACCCACTATAGTTTCTAGTTGTTACCAGTAAAGGCCCAAGAGCTGAAGTCACAATGATCCAATCCCAAAGCTTAATCTGCTCCCAACAAGATAAGCTGCGGTTTCACCACGCATAAAATCAGGCAGCAAATCTGATTAGCAGACAGCAAAGCTTTGGGAATGCTTTTCCTAATTAGAAAGAACTGTCATTTCAGAACACAGCATTTATTGGGATGCCAATACAAGTAGTCTTGCTTTATACTAATAACAATGTTTTGTAGATGGAGAAGTTTGTGATGAATAGATGAAAAGTGTTTCCTTTGCTTTCTGTATGAATTCATACTCTTTAATCCAAAATATTAACTACTCTGGACAATATGCCAGGCTTTAAAATAAAAGTCTGAGCAGAACAGAATCTCAAGCCAGAACGCAGACACTGTGTGACAGGGTGAAAACTCACTGCCAAGTCTGTGAGAAAACTCTATAGAGCTCAGTAACCTTGTAGCACATAAACACTACTGGGCTCTTACTAAGTCAATGGTGCAATGATAATAGTTTTCAGCATAAGCATCTGTTCAAGGAATTCATTCATGTTCAACAGCAATTTCCTTACGATTTTGCAAGGCTTAAAGTCCTAATGAGAAAGTCAACGGAATCTTTACCATCAGTTCTATTTTACAGGCAGAGACAGCGAGCCAAATTAATCAATTGCGTAGGATTATTAGAAAGCCACACCAAAGACAGAAATTAATCCTGTCACGAGCCTCAGAGCATCATGCCCTGCAAAAAGAGACAAGGCAGTACTATGCAGGACACAGCAATGTAATAACAAACCTTCTAATGTAGCTTGTGCAGAACACCAAGACAATGGTTTTGCATGACAGAAAACCAGTCTGAAATTCAGACGCTGTATTCCAGCTCATGTACTTCATTTCAGTAAATTTGTAATGTACAGCCACAAGTAAAAGGCAGGAAGACTTCAATCAAACAGTATTTAATGCCTGATCATATCCTTTTCTACATTTTAACTCCCATTATAGTTTTTCTATGCACCATGAATTGCACTTCCTAAAGCTACAGGAACACATACCACTATTAAATACTTAATAGTTGTAAGGAAAGTGTCCATTTAAAATATTTTACCAATTATCTTCCAAATACTTTGAAGCCAAAAATAGCGAACAAATCTTAAAGTCTTCAAATGTGTAAATCCATTCCATGTACCTTACCTGAATCTGATGAGACTTCTTCCCTCCACAGTGACCAATTTCTGTCTCTGGACACTGCTAATAGAAGTTTGTCATTAGGTGAAAATGCCAGCTGAGTAACAGTCAGATTGTGAAATGACAAACTCTGTATTTTCTTCCAAGAAGAAGTGCACCACAAAATAATTGCTGCATGTTCTTTTTTGGAAGCCTGTAGAGAAAAAAATAAAATAAAAAAATAATAAAAAAAAAACAGTGTGAATTAAATAAGGCAAATATAAAAATCACACATTTCAATATACCAAAATGTTAAGGGGCTTTTTTTTTTTCATGAGTTACAGTCCAGTTCCTTCTACAAAGTTTCAAGATTGTTTCACTGCACTCTACCAGCAATAACAATGTGTCAGAAAAATGTTACAAATAACTGTTTGTTAGAATTCCTCTTACTAAGAACTTTAAACAAATCACAGAATTATTTCTGAATAACAACAGCTCTGTATTCAATCTCACCTTTGCAAGGCAACTGGCATTTATAAGAAATCTTTCACGTTAACTTAAAGAGCAGATACAGTACAGTACAAACTGAATTCTGACATCTCTTCTGTCAGCACTAGAAATATGACAGCACTTTTCACTAGATGGTGCTAGAACCTTTTCTTACCTTACACGCTGAGGCAATTACAGTGTTTGAATTATTGCAAGCAACACAAAAAATTTCATATCCATGTCCATACCTGAAATAAATTTCAAAAGCTATTTATCACAGCACAGACATTTCTGCAGTATGCATTAGGGTTTTTATATTAACTTAAATCCCTTTGCAAAAATGAAAGATACATACTAGGAGCATCTTTCAACAAACAACACTTTCTGTTTCGCATTCCAAACAAATCCTGATAATACTCTGCATTCAATTCAAACATCTGCATAAACTCTTTCATGTTTAGGAACTGACTACAGACGAATCACTCCAGCACATTTCATAGTCCTAAATCATCAGCAATGCAAAACCTACTGCAATTACTAACAAAAAGCAGACAGCATTTAATGTACTCTTGTTTTCTTGTAAAACAAATTTAACGCTATCAATAAAAATTAGAAGCCACATATTTTAAAATCACAAAAGAAAAACAAAGGCTAACAAACTACTATCAGTCAGAGATCAGAAGCAGAATAAAGTTGGCAACATCTTGAAACAGTAGAAAAATATCAGCTAAATACCAGCTGCTGGAGGGATTTATAGTACCTAAGCAAGCATTTCACTTTCTGTTCAAAGCAAAGCCGTAAGAATTCTGGATGAAACCTAGGCCACATAACTCACTTATCTAATCAGAAACACAGGAATATTTAAGGAATAACACAGAAAGCCTCATGGACAAAGTTAAACAATCTCTGCATGAGGCCAACCTTACTTGGAATCACCTCCCTGTTTTCCAGCTTTCCCATCACTCCTGAACAATGACAACGTAAAGACACTGTTTTGAGTGCCACGAAGTACAGAGGTATCAGGGCTTGTTTATTACTCCTTGTGACCTTATGCTCAGAGACCATTTACTTGATTACCCCTTGTTCTGTATGACAGGGGTAACAACACTGAACTGCAAGCAACAGGCACAGAAAGGGCATTGTCTCTTCTACTACAAAATTTGCTGGGAGGATTCTTTACATCAGAGACAATGCATTTTCTGACCTCTGTGAGAAAAGGTATCAAGAGAATTGCAATTTTACATTGGTTCAAACAGGACTCCACAAGTAAATGGAAGAAAAAAACAGTGAGTGTTGCTGAAACATAATAAAAACACATATTCAGCTTCAGAAGCTCCTGAGCTGAAAACAGTGAATACTGCAGGGAACCATCTTCCTTGGGGTGTCTGCTTACACAGAGTTTTCTTCTTCATAAGACAGCACAATTGCTCCTACCCCCAAATCATGTAGTCCAGTCTGCCATGCTGTAGGAAACAGCTGGACTCACCACAGCCACAGAGCAAGGAATCAACCTCAGTCTGGGCAATACATCACACTGTCTTCCCTGCCAGCCACTTCATTTGCAGTTGTTTTTTTCTTGGATGTTGTTGCTTGGACTAACTGAAGCAAGGATCTCATATCTTTGCAAACAAATGTCCTATTGCCATTATAGTCCCTGGGCATAACGCTGGTCTCTAGAGGCTCTTGGTCTGACCAATGCTTGTGTGACTTTGTAAAAGATGCTGTCTTAGGTCTTGTGTTCATTTGAGGAGGAGTATTTTAATGCTTCTATTTAATAAGAGCAAAAGTTGCATAGAGGAGATCAAAATATTGCTGTTAAACCCTCTGCAGTATTACATTATATGAGATAAAAACAAAGTAACCAAAGACTTGTTTCACAAGTTATTCCACAAGCTGTTTCTCCTCTACTGAATTTCACTGAAAGCATACCTTAAATGGAATATTTTCAGTTTTAAAAACTTGACTTCTGATGGTTTCCAATATAAGGCAACTTCCAGAAATCTACTTTTAAAGTAAACATTATGATGACAACCCTTCTGGGAAGGGTGAGAGGAAGACACAAATTAATAGCTTCACCATTATAAGACACAAATTTGCAAATTAACGTTCCAATTAAGCAGCCACCAGTCTCTGTCTTCCCAGAAGGCCTGTACACACTCTTCATGAAGTGCCAGCACGTCCCCAAACTTTAGACATGAATGTGGGAGTCTGTCTGTGGGAAATGCCCAGCAGTTACTCTATTCAACAGACACAGACAGTAATTTGCCACTTAAACAGATGGCTGTTTTGGCTGTAAGTAAAATCCCATGAACATCAGTCCCATATAACAAAGTCTTTGCAATACTGTTGACCAGAGGAGTTTATCTGGAGAACTGCTCATCTCTTCAGAGCTAAATCAGAACAGAGTTCTGATCAAGAAGAAGGTGCCTCCCTCCCACACAGTGATGGGCCATCATCAGCTACAACTTCGCTCCGCAGGAACAATCCCCAAAGCTTAGAGCAACGTCCAGAACAAGTGACAATTTATGCCAATAAGCTTCATGCAAATCCTGGAAAGCCCAAGAAGATATAAACTCTCCCTCTACCCCCCACTCAAAAAACAAACTAAACTATAATATGCATCTGTACAAGCAGGGACTCACTGAGGTGTGACTTCATTAAAGATGAAGACAGCAAGTCCCAGTCACAAGCCCTCCCTCCACTCATACACATTCAATCCCATCCCTTCATTACATAATGCAGCACAAAAAAGGCTTCACAATGGAGAGCAAAGCGACTGTATGAATGAATAATGAAATGACATTTCCAGCCACAAGCCATTTTGCCCTAGCAATGTGTAATTCATAACATTTTCTTATGTGCAGGTGAGCCGAATGGACATTCAAAGTTTCCAGGCAAATGATTACTGTAATTTTCTAGTGTCAAAAAGGATGTCTCAGGACTTCCAAGTGTATTACATAAAGCATACATATTGCATATATTCATTCTATGGTAATTTTCCAAGAGGATAAGGATTAGCATATTCTCATAGGATTTATCATATTTTTATCTTAAAGTTATTAGATTATGTAAAAAATTCAGCAAGTTCTTCATGCTAAAACCCACTCAACCAAATAGTTATCAAAACTGAACACTAATCCTTCAAAATTTGGTGCTGAGCTAGAGCTGGGAATACACAAATGTCAATAACAAAGAGGCTATTTTTGGCAAGTCAGTTCCTCATGCTGTTTTTCTGCTGCCATGGTAACTTGAAATCTGCATTATGCAATTTCATGTTACTTCTTTCAAGATTATCCTGAACAAAAAAAGAAAATCTGAAAGACAGCTTGCATCTTGTTTCTTTCACACAAAGGAATCTCTATCATTAACAGTTTCTCTAACTACAGAAAAAACTGCTGATAAGTCACTTGAGAGCCATCATAAAATAAAGGATATTTTACTAAACGAGGCTTGATTAGCAGTACTCCCATAGCAGAATATCAACAATAAACACTGAGAAATGTTAAGACAAACAAAGGAAAATTTTGGCCTTGGCCCCTTTTCACTACTTATGATCACCACCAAACTACTTAAATAAAGCAGATGCATTAGCAGCCGTTGCGTGCACAGGAGAAGCATTTATTGTAATCGTTGGTAATTACAAAACATACAGACACAGTCTAGTTCCTGCCAGCTTCCCTGGTGTAAAAGCATTTAAAAGTACTCAAAGAAGATTAACTGCCCAGCTGAACCATAAAGATGAGTTCCCAACAAAACCTCCTACTCAGCCAAATGAAAGCAATTTGGAAGCAGCTTTCCTAAAATGTTGGGGTTTTTGTTGTTGTTGTGTTTTAAATATTTCCTCTTCCATCTCCCCTCCCCAAACAAAGCCGTAAAATTGGTAAATGTAGTCATCTAAGACTCAACATTGTTGCTTCTGCCCGAGACGAGTGTTTCAGGAGATTCACGTTAGAAAATACATAACTTGAAATGACTAATTCCTTTGCATATTCAAGATCAGAAATGAGAATGCTGCCCAACATATGTAGATAATCAGTTTCCTACTCACAGCTCTGCTTCGAGAGCAGCACTGTTACCTAAACTCACTTAAAACAGCCATGCAAAATCTACAGTTAAGACTTTTTTCCATTATCCCCTCCATTTCCTATCAACTCCCTGGTACTGCCATTTGCAAACACTCTGAGAGGTTCAAAGAGCCAATCTAATTGACAGTGAGTCAAGAAAACAAATTTTGGCTAAGGTTAGCATGCAACAACTTGTAACTAAGACCAGCTCTTTTGAACGAAGCTCACGAAAACTTTGAAGCTTGAGCAATTGCAGCCTAATGTTACTGAGACCCTGAGGGAACAAATACGTTAGAAACTTCATTTGCAAATTATTATGAAATTAATACTTTGAATGAATCACAGAAAAAGAAGGAACAAAACACAGTAGAAGAATTCTAAAACCCTGCAACCTCAACAATTATTTGCATGACCTATTACGTTTGTGAACCATAACTTATTTTGTCAGCTTTCAATACCCAAACTGGGTCTGCAACCATCTTAACCCACAGTCACCTCCTTGCTCTACCACCAACCACAGCTTGTTTCAGCTGCTGCTTCCATCTATTGCATCTGACAACTTCCTTGGGCTTTGAGAGGAAGTTACTTATTTGCCCCATCAGCCTTAAGTAGCAGCACTACTTCCAGTGCAGAAAGACAGACGTGATCTGCACAGTCTGCCAAAAAGCAAAAGAAAGCAAAAATTCCTGCCCTTTTCTTCAGGCTCTTACCTTTGTGATACATATATTTATTTTACAAGATATATGCTGCACAGGGTCATATCAGGTAGTAAGTCAGGTAGAGTTATGAGACCAGACTACATTAATATTGCAATAGCTTTAGGGAAAGAAAAAAAAAACAACAACTTACAACTTCTGAATTTCAGGCCACAATGTATTCTGCAGCAAGTGATCCTCTTGAGGAGGTTCTAAAAGACATTTGTATAACATACTTAAATTTGGCAGTAGATAATCTATAATCAGCTAAATTATGCTTCTAAGATAATACCCAATAAACCTAATTATCTACTTGATACAACAGAAAATAATCTCATACCTGTAAGGATCAGGGGTTGAAAATATGCCTCAGGATACTGATTAGAAATAGTATTAAACGTTTCTTCATCCTCAGCTACTTGAGCAGATATATCTCCTATTCAAAATAAGGACTTTATTAGCTGTAGAGAACATATTTGATATAAAAGAAAATATAAGCATGTACTACAAAGGGAAAACCCTCCATTATTTTGAAAATCCAAGCAAAATTAATACAAACATTAGAATCCAGTGATTATGATGCACGTAACACTGAGAAGACTTTTGAAAAAAACCAAAACAACAAAGACACAGAACAATCCAACCTTTGAACTAGTTCCACTCTGGGATTAACCTCTTCACTATCAGAGTCTCTTTCAGAGATTCCCAAAGAAACTTTGATATATCAAAGAATCAGTCAATAGGAGCTGGAACTGTTGCGCCCCCAGTGTTAAATCATTTTCCTCCTTGAAAATTTAAATAAAAAAATCCAAAGAAATAAAGTTCAATTTCGTATCATGTAGACACCCTACATGAAAAGTCATGCTTGAAGAAGTCTACATAGTTTGCAAACTTCAGCAAACCTGCCAAGTGCTCAGCCTTCGTAGCTGTAGGCAAATGTAACTGAAATTATTCAGTTACATTAAAATTCAACTCAATCATTCACTTTGAAAGAAATATTTAAGATATCAAGTTGGGGTAAAGTGCTGTTTTGTGAAATGCACATTTTGAATATAGCTGTTTAAAAAAGTAGGTAGAGAACTCAGCAGAACAGCAAGACTATTTTGTTATCCATCCTGCCTTCTTTCTCCTTGAAAAAAAAAAGAAAAATCAGTAGCATTTATCTAACTTGAGATACTTCCTCATGGCTGTTCACTATAAGATTCCTCTGTAGAGTAAGCAAAAACAACGTTCTATGGGACTTAACTTAAGCTATCAGTGCTGATAGCATTTGGTGGACAATAATGGACAACACAAAAATTTGAAAGCTACTGCTGGGTATGGCACTTTATTACTTTACTGAACTTTATTGCTGTCTGTGTGGCGATACTCTAGAAGATGGAACTTATTTCCCTCTGTTAGTGGAAGGTCTTATGAAAGAGCAGGAAAAAAAAGATTTTTGCCAAAATAAATTATTTCATGTACAACAAGGATATTTTTCCTCTCAATTAGGTTTTAGGACAATTTAGCTATATTAACATTAAAGATCCTGAAGATAAAATCTAATTCACATACTTTCTTTATTAATTCATACCTTCTGATAAAAGTTTAGGCAGAAAAGAGGGGAAAAAAACTAATTTGCAGATTTCAATTAGAATACATTTTTACCACATGCTTTATCAAACACCAGATTTCACATTTCCAAACCTAATCTCAAGATATGGCTCAGTTACAGTTATCACTTCAAACAATGATCCGTCCTGGTGTCCCCACCACCTCTCTAAGAATATGATCTGGTGTCTCTCCAGCCTTTACTGAAAGAACATTTCTTCATGTTAGAGAAATAGTTCTCCAATGTTTTCACAGTGTCATTTACCCAGAAAAGGTCTATGTCTATTCTTACAGGAAAAGAATACAAAATGTGTGCAATTCCACTTAAAAATGCATTATTTCTACAACCTCTACAAGGGTGTTAATGTCCAAGGAGCATATGAACAAGACTCCAGAATACAGCTTAGAAGGTCAAGGATACTGGTATTTTACAGAAGAACACAGAAAAGCAGTGGACAGCCCTGATTTAATAATGTGGAATTCAATTTTATTTAATAATACTCAGTTACTTTTTGCTAGAAGTTGTCAGCAATCTGATTGAGGGAACAACGAGGAGCATAGAGAAAACATAAGAACAACTGCAGTTTGGGGAATCTGAGTAACACTGTGCCCCAGATATTTCCAGATCCACCTCAAGCATGCAGCCAGCCTCACATCTAGGTGGAGACAACAAGGAGAGGCCATGGGTCCTACAGAATGTGGGTCACAGTGTGGGAGGCAAGGAATGAGTATTTGGGGTTCACGTAAGGTTTACTACAGGATATTTAGGAGAGGAGCCAAAAGCACATAAAGGACTGAATCAAGAAAGCATTCTCACTTGTTCTCACTGTATTTGTTAAGTGCCATATTTAAGTGCTGCCAGACAAAATAAACACATTGTACAACTTCTAGCTTAGAAACTTAGTCAAGTTCACTATGAGACCAAGCAAAAAGACAAACATTGATGAAATTATTTAAAAAAAAAAAAAAACAAAAAACTTTACATGTGAAGCACCATCACTTCTCATTATTATTTCTTATTAGCCATACCTTCAAAAACAGCCTTATTGGATAAACCCAATGCTGGTACAGTTGCACCTTCTGGAAGGTCAGAAGATTGCTGAATTTGAAAAGAGAGAGAAAAGTTTCACAAATTGTCATGTGGGGATCAGGTTTTAAAGGCCATAGATTAATGGATCCCTGTAAGAACAGGGACTTTGCTAGAGAAAAGTAAAGGGGGGGCTTTGGAAAACTCCCAACTCACCCCACAGCACACCTTAGACAATATGAGGAACAAGAAAAAAAAAAAGCTTTATCTAAGGCCTCAGCACAAAAGTTCTGTTGTAAAGCATGTATCTTCATTCCTACATTCAGTTTTTCAGCTATAATTTTATTGAAGACACACACGATAAGGCTCAGCTGAGAGCACTGCAGTCAGTAATGCAATAGGACTGGGAAGTAGTCTGTTCTGAGGTGAATTAAGGGGGTGTCTCTGTCCATGGCTTCCAACACAATCTAGCACATAACACGGAGATGTGGCTGGAATACATAGCCAAAAATTAGAAAGGTAAGTGAGCTTCAGGACCTTCGTGCAGAGATAGAAAAGTTTTAGATCTAACAGCTGTAAAATTCCTTTGTTCAAGGGTTTGAAAAGTTTGAACGAAGACTGGACTTAAAATTTAGGTGATGGCCTAGAATAAGATGTTACTTATTTAAATATTCATAACTTGATCAGAAAATGTCTGACACTGACGTATAAGTGGCTTTTAAAATAAAAATGCTTCTTGTTTATAACGTAAGGTATAACACAAGCCAATAGGCTTGAACTGCATGTAATCCTGCTCCTCTTCTTGTTTGAACATAAAGCTGGCCTTTTTGGTTTGGCACTTTCTTAGGGAAGGCATTTGAATATAGTTAAGACAAAGCTTACACACTAATGTATTCACACAAAACTATTTCAATTAAGCTGTTTAAGAGTATCTGTATCATTACAGCTTGTGAAGCCTTCCTCTTTAGACAGTCTGTAAGACATTTTGCGATATCATAGATCAAAACACAGCACTCAGAGGAAGAGCTGATAAGGAAAGTCTACATAAAAGTAAAATAATGACATCTGCCAGTATTATAAAAGCACAGTGTTATTTGCACAACGTCATCAGTACCAATGCTTACAACAACTTAACACAATTAGCAGATATCTACTTATGTAACTTCTTGCTACTAAAAATTAATAGATTTCCTTCCTACACATTTCAAATGTTAAACAAAATGGAAGGGCTAATCTGTCTTTGAGAATCCACACAGAAAACACTGCTTTTAAGCCAGGAATGCAAAGAGGTAACAATTCTGAAAGAGGGCTGCTCTACAAGATGCAAAGAAAATCAGAATTAGTTCCTAAAGTGAATGAGTAGCAAAAAAAAAGATAGCAATGCTGCAAGTCTTATCTTTCCAACAAGCAGGAACACTCACTTGTATACAACAGCTATAGGCCTACAAGAACTGAAATGTCCTAGCCTCACAAGAAAATTTCCACAGCCAAGAGGAAATAAAGCATGAGCAAACACCTATTTATAAATATTTATCTAGAACTACCAACAGCAGTGCTGAAAGCTGGGTGCTATTTCCAAATATACAATTAAAAAAAAATAAAACACAAAACAATGCAAAACCACACAATAATAATTACATACAAAGAAGACTACTACACCCTCAAATTAAGAAGAAGCACATTGTCAGGCATTAGTGTTTGTTTTCAAATCATCAAATATATACACGTCTACTTGGGCTGATTTTTTCTTTTTTAATTTACCCATATTCTTCAGACAACATGTCTTGTTTTATTTCAAGTACTCAGTGGACATGATGGTAGATAGGTTGACAGTTGGACTAGATGACCTTAGTGGTCTTTCCCAACTTTAGTGGTTCTATGACAACATCATGAAATATATCTGAAAAAGCACACAGAGAAACTAGCATAAGAGGAAGGAGAAATGAAGGTTCAGAATTGTTATATTATTTGGTGTAAGTTAATGCATTTGATGCTTTCTAAAGCATTGATGTCATTTACATGGAAAAGGGCGGCTTCATTTATAAAATGCTTTAGAATACTTACATGGGAACACAGCTTCTCCATTGGAATACCAGTGATGTTACTGAAATTTTCTATAAAATTCTTGGGAGCACAAAAAACTCGAAGCACTTTTTCATCTGCTCCTGACACAAACTGAAAGCGGCCAACCATTGCCAGACAACGCATGTCATACCCATGTACTTGAGGCCGGGCTATTTCATGCCAGGTTACCTACACAAACAGAAATGCAGTTAAAATACAATTCTTAATCAGAGAAGTGGTAAGATTTTGAGATGTAAAAAAGCATTAATAAATTCCTTGATGACTTTATTAACATGAAGGAAAGCTAATAACCTTCTATTAATGTTTATAAAACTGGTGTATGCTCACATACATCAGCTAACTCCCATTCTTCCACCAAAGACTCTTGCAATTAGTGAATGGAGTCACTTCTCAGGTTTCCGAGGGCATTTGCTTACCTTTGTGGCAAACTAGTCACCAAAACTTCTTCATGCTATACCTTACAAAAGGCATGAGTTGCTTTTAAAAAAAGGAGGACTGTATGCTATTTATTGCTTTCAAAAACATAGCTCTGAAAGACCTACGAAGGTAGCAAGAAGTACCTACTTCCTTCATCTGCCTTTCCTGAAGCATGACAGCATTGCTGTCAGTAGGTTCCTACTTCCCGTATTTTCTCCATAACTAAAATAAGCGAAATCACTTTGTAGAAGCTGTACAAGAACTGAAAAGACCAAAATAGCTCCTTATTGCAAAAACAATTGGAAAACCCTGATGATTTAAGAAACATTTTCATTGGAAACAGTTTTTTTAGTTTCCTCGTACTTTAACCCAAAAAAGAGAATCAAAAGCTAACCAAAAATTGAATGGGTAAGATCTATTTTTTTTAAATTGTGACACAAAGCAAAGAATATTAGCAAGAATATATTAAATTGCTCACATTGGTTTCCTAAAAAATAGTATTTATTCTACACATGAACTGAAGTTTTAAGGGATAATAATTTGCATTTAGCACTATGTACTCTTTAGTAAAAAAGCTCAATATTTATTTAACTTTTAATAGATATCTGAATCATCCAGACAAATATCAGATGTTACCTATTATAATTCTTCAGATGCTAAACTCAGTATAGTAAGGAAAGGCTGGCATTTTAAAAGCCTGCATTGCCTTGTGTTCCAGACCCCTTCACATGACCCATTTCTACTACAGCTCAACACCTCACCCCACCTACAGGTTACTACAGCTTTCTCCTACAGCAAAAAGTATTGGTGTCACTTGACTTTACACATGGTCTATCCAGCCAGATGGCTGCTGTTTGTCAGATCAGGAAGAAGTACAATAATTCAGTTCACTTAGATAAGAACACTGCCATCATTCTGCTAAATCAGTTCATTAATTCTAAAATTTCAGAGATAACAGGAACAGCTGCATAGGTAAAGATCAGTTCTTCCAGACAAATATTTAGCAAACAGTATACATAATGAAAAGTGGTGCTTCAGTAGGTCACAGAGAATATGCTATTGACAACTATTTTGAATGCTGTCAGCTTACATAACATGCTAGTTCTGGACTTAGTTTCCATATGCCAAATCCAGCATTCTATCTTTTCCACAGAGCTGTTGCACCTGCCAGCTTGGAGACAAGGGAAAAGCAGCAGAGAAACAAACTGGAGCTGCTCTTCATAAAATACAATGCAAAGCTTACAAATTGATTGGGATTGCTACCACTTCTGTGTAGTCTGGAAGAAGGAAAACAAGGAACTGTTTATGCTAGTGACTTAGCTAAGCTTCTGTGGTAACAGTTACCCTTTACCTCCCCCCATTGCTAGCACAGGATCTCACATGACTTCAGTGCTCTAGTTTCCGTAAGTTTCCTGAATGGAATGTTCTGTCAGAAAACAAAAACAAAACAACACAACCCTGTGTTTGCAGATTAGCAAAATGAATGATCAATGAGAAACTCCAACTGCAGCATTCCCAGACAGGGTTTCCCTACAACAAAATTTAGACTTCTTTTGGAAGACAGTTATTCAGGAGCTGCAGGAATAAGTGCCAAATGCAGTTCAGTGGTGGGTAATCATTCTGGTAAAAGTCACATTCACAAACAAAATAATATAAAAATAGATGAATAAATAAAATAGAAATACAGTGAAAAATTTGCATGGGGGAAAAGAACAAGGTTGAGTATCTTTATGGTCATCCTCCACAGTGCTTAGCTAAGCATGAAACAAGAGCAATAGATGATTACTAAAATCAGGCATGTACTCTTGTACCACTTATTTCAGAGCTAGTTTCTTTGTTGTTTTTTTTTTTAAAGCCCAGGAGAACATTAACTGAAGGTAACTCAGAGGTGAACTCAGGAGTTAAACAGCAATCATTCATGTGATTACTAAAACTTGCAACTAGTATTTTTAAATTGAAAACAACACATACTGAATAACTAAGCCAAACATTCACACAAGCAGTTTTGAATATCATGGTTTGAGGATATTGAAGATAAGAACTAAACTCAAAGGACTTATTCCAAAGTCAGGAAAGGCAAGCCTTTACCAACCCCACAAATTCTTTTTGAAGATCATACCTGTGTCTCATGTTTTCTTTTCCATGGAGCAAATAGTCTAGTAGTTTGATCTGAACCAACGCTAATGATAAATTCTCCTTCTGGGTCCCACTGTACATCCTCAACACTGTTAAAATGTCCTGAAATCACAACTTCTGGAGTCCATTCTTTCTATTCAAAATATTAAAGGAAGACATGTAAGAACCAATATGTTTTCAACTGACCAATCAGCATATTGTAACAAAAGTAAGTGATTAGGAAAAAAATAAAAAATAAAAAAACCAGACATTTGAAAATAGCATATTATTAGATCTCAATGTAGCTACACGGACACCAATACTGATTTATTGTCCCAACTTAAAAGAAAATAGTGTAAGTGGTTCAGGTACCATTTTTGAGGAAAGCACAACTACAGATGTGCTCAAATTGCTCCAATGACTGTGGATCCTACACAGAGGCAGGAGCTCTACATTCTGGTTAATTCCAACCTCTTCCCTATGCAAGAGTGAGGCTTCTGCAGAATATTATACTCAGAGAAGGACCAATTCTATCGTTAATTTTAAGCTGTAGTGTTACACCTGGTATTTTCTATTAACCATACAACTGCATGACAAGAGCTAGTAAATGATAAGAACTAATAATAATAAAAAAACAAGTAACATACCTTATTAACTGAAGCCTGTTTCCAAAGGTGGAATGCTCCATGAAAAGCATGAGCAATGATCATTGAACCATCTGGACTAAACTGGCAGTCAAAAAATCCAAGGGTATTGCCACCCACTTCACCTACCCGCACCTGAATTAATGAGCAGAAACAAAATACCCATGAAAATGGCCTTCAGTTAACATGAACTCATCCTAATCTCACAAGATGCAAGTCATGCAATCTGAGGTCCAACCAATGCAAATGGAAAGTAAAAAAAAAGTAACAACTTAGTACAGGTTTTATGGCACAATTACTTTTTTGAAATTTGTAAACTTAGGCATAACTATAACAACAATCAGCATCTCTGTATGATTACCCACTTGTGTACTACTTCGTACTTCAGGTAGAAAGGCTTTTCAATGGAACTGAGGAAAAATTGTAATTACTACTGTACTTCTTTTCCCCAGGAGAGCATAAGAACTTCCTTTGTGACAGGAAAAGTCATAAACAATGGTTGGCATAACGCAACACAAACAAATGCAGCGGAACTACTGCAATACATTTCTAGTTGATCTGCTTTTCCACAGACATCTACCAAAGCATTAGATAAATCTGGGTTTTATTACTTGTTTATTTAAGATGACCCACATTAGAAAAGCATTCAACATAATACACTGAAACACGAGTATTCAGCTCAAATGGAGGAACAACCTAACGTCAATACCCATGAAAAAGTTACTGTGATTAAAACAGGGCTTCTGAATCATGTGTTAGCTGCTCTGCAGGAACTGCATGGGTCCATATTCCCACAGGGATTAACTATAAATATTTCTGGGTGGTTTCTTCCTCTGCTTACCATGAGTGTGTTACTACACTGCACCTGACTTGCTCTTCTATGAATAATAGTAGTTAAGCAGAAACTATTCTGACAAACTTCCTAATATCATAATAAGCAAGTAATAAAAGCTATCCTGCATCACATCATTTTTGACAAGTATGTTTTACTTGCAACACAGCATTAGAATGCGTATTCTGTAAGAAAAAGTTGCTATCTTTCTTTAGCATAATTTTATAGTTTTAGTTGCCTCTATTACACACACAATGCTGGAAAGGCAGTTTTAATACAGTTTGTATTGTGGAAAAGACTGACACTTGCCTGTTCTAGCCAAACTCCAGACTCTTTATCAGGTTCCCAGATGATCACAGTTTTGTCCATTGATGCAGACAATATCCTCATTGGTTGTTGCATGCTGCCACCTGCTGTACAAGGAAGAAGATTACAACCTAAGAACGCTTAACTAAAAGAATTTGTTCATACTGGAATCCAAACACACTCAAATTTGTTCAGCAGAAGAGATGTACAACGCAACACTTAGAGGCCACAGTTAATAGGTATTACGTTCTTACCAAGTGTTCATTAATAGGCACAGTATTTTTCAATATTCAAAAGGAAATGCAAAACACAAACAAGAGAACAACTACATTCTACTATTTATTCACTCCAAACTGATGCTGGAGAAAATGTTATTTGGAGGAAGAGCTAGAGCTTCTAGAGAGACCACACAGAAGTTTATGGTTCTGTTCCTCAACTTCTTACTGAATTTCCAGCTTCAAACAAAATAATAATCTCTATGCCAATAATAATAATAATCATCATCTCTATTCACCATGCTGTGTTGGGTTTTTTTTGTTTTCCTCTTCGAACTCAGCTTTAGATTCATGGACACAGTCAGAGCAGAAAGGCGCTGGGTAAGCGCCTAGGAGAACTGTTTGAGGAGCCTAAAGACATTAGTGGACATCTTCTGAGGCAGTGTCTTATGTCAGCACCACATCTTCTGTGTTCTACATTGAGAAGTGATAAGCAGTGCCTAAAATATGTCTCTCCAATCAGCCTGCCTCTAGTGAACATGAAGATCTATTTCAGAGTACCCATGACTAGGAAGGGCCACACAAGCAGTGGTATGTATGCAGAAGCTTGATACAAGGTATCTGGAAAACATCATCTAACAATAAAACATTTTTTTGATTGCAAGGCAAGATTTACAAGCCTATGTTTTGCATAAATCTTGATTTAAGAGGCAAATTCTTACACTGCTGTCCAAAAGAAAAAAAATAAATAAAGGATATAACAAACTAAAGAAAAGAAAAAGCAGGTCTGTGAACAACAAATCCACAAGGGCCTTCTGATAGTGCAAACACAACAAACTGAGATGTAAAAAGGATTTTTAAAAAGACTAGAGCAAGGTGAAAAGTTGAAGAACAATCTTCAATGAGAATCCACATTAATGCCTTAAAGCTACATTCTAGCTAAAGAAACCTGATACTCAAGAACTCATGGCCTGTTTAATTAATGCATGGAAGACTGAAGATTCATCTTCCAAATGTTATTTGTTACTTTCTAGTCTAAGAAGAAAGGAGCACTCAAGTTAATACTGACCTTCCAAAGAACATACATTTCAAATGTATGTAACAAAAGAAAACATTAGAGCTGCTAATGCATGATGATAAATTATTTCTTATTACGTAAATAGGAAATCAACCACAATAAAACAAGTACAGCTCTGTTAATTCATTCACAAAAGAAGGCATAAGTGAAAGACAACATTAGGCAACAGATAGATCCTGTGCCATAAGATTGCTACTGTAACACATTCAGTCAAAACACTTGACTGAATATTTACTTGTAAAATATATTTACTTGTAAAACATCAGTTGAAAAATTTAAACATTTTTGTAGTCCACAGTGACAAGTAAACATGCAAACACAATAAACAGATGTGACTGTACTTCATATATACAATGCTTAGCATAACTGCTAGGGTGCTCGGAAACAGCTCACCTTTGGAAAAGGAAGGCTGCCAGTGGACTGCATACACCCAGTTTTCATGGCCAGCCAGCACAGACTCCAAAGTAATTCCATATGTTGTATCAGTATCTACCACAAATCAGAGAAAAGCACATTTCTTTCTAAAAGCCAAGAAAAAAAACAGACCATTTCTGATATCTTCAATGACAAATCAACTGCTTTCATCATTTATCACCATCCCAATAGCCTGTTGGCATTGAAAAGATCCTTGAAAATATACTTTGCCACAAGGCCTGCATATCATGTTGACAGTAACAGGACATCTATTGCCTCACAGTGGCATCGCAGAACTCCTGGAGAGCTCTGAAGGAACTCTGAAATAAATCGTCCAATATCAGCTGTGCCCATATACTTAGACATATTTGTATCTCCAAATTATTGCAAACACAACAATGAATTAGGATTTGTATCAAGTCTCACCAGCAATTTCTACACACATCATCCTACAAACAATGTTATACTTCCTAATGTCAAAATTGCAAGCTTATGACTTTAGAGCGCTCTAAATGTATGTTCAGCAAACACAAAGTAAACTTGCACACATTTATCTGTTCTCTCCAATCCTTTGCTAAGGTTTAAGTATTCACTGCTTTGAAAGCATTGAATTTAACATGTGTTATTAAGCTGGAGGGGAGCTACATAACAGCATATCTCCCACAAACAAATGTATCTCATGACTATGTACTGCATTTAGAATACATGTAACAGTACAGGTTGATACTGAGTTTTCTCACCACTCCATCATTTTGGGAACATATTGTTAACTTTTTACATATTTGCTGTTTTAAAACAGCAACTCAACTTTTTCTAATAACTGAACAAAATAATGCAGTTAAACTGGTCTCTGATTATTTTAAATACAAGAAACAAAAGAAATGAGACAGTAATCCTCTTGACAACCCTCCCAAAACCACTACCAGATACACAACCAATTGTAAGAGAATTTTACAGCTTTTACCTACCTTTAACAGTAAAAACATTCTCTTTCAGTCTGATAGAATCATCCTCAATTTCTGAACACTGCTTTGATTTTGTACACACTTTCCAAATTCTTATCAAACAATCCTGAGCACAGCTTGCTAAGAACAGATCATCACCTATTTGGTTAAAAAAAAAAATAAAATCTAAAAAAAGCCATATTTTCACTGCATTAAATAAATACCATGACTAACTTATCACAGAATCACAGAATTGTAGGGGTTGGAAGGGACCTCCAGAGATCATTGAGTCCAACCCCCAATCATCTCTCCAAATATTATCATCTCTCCAAATATTCATTACAATATTACCCTCATTCTTTCCATTGCACAAGTATCAACACTGCTGGTTAATTTCAACGTCAACTCATCTTAACATTTCAAGCTCTCCACTAGTTTACATCATACTGACAATGAACATTTCCCTGCCTGTTAGAAACATTGTGCTAAATACCAGATATGTTTCTCTGTTACTTATGACCTTTGTTATCCTAATTTCTGATAATGAGCAATCTAATATTTACAAGAACTTCTTTCCTCCCTTTCTTCTTTCAGGATTATAGATTCCTCTAATGCTTTCTATTTTATTTTGTCCACCTACATAGGTTCTCCTCAATCTCCTATCTTACAGAAAAAAAAAAAAAAAAGCTACACTAGGAGAAAGAAGAAAAGTACTACTTTTTTGTCCTCAACAAGAGGCAAACTATTTCTTACTCAGACACAGATATTGTCGTTCTGAGGACAAATTGCTAAAGCTCCTATTTGCATTAGGCAGCAGTTAGGTAAACAGGCTTGAAGTGATCACAATAAAAATGAGAGATGTAAACTCAAGTACGTTCTGTATCAATCTTACTGTATGGCAATTCTGATAACTTGATAAGTAATTGTGGTATTGGTTCAACAATTCTTACGTTTTTAATGACACAAAATTCTACCTTGATTTTTAACATTTGTGTCATCACCTCAGGAAAAAAAATGCATAACCACACGAGCTTAGAAGCCACAGTGTGCCAAAAACATCAGCTGGGGTGGTAAAACAGCAGCAGTGGTACTAAATCAGTATTTTACTTCATTCATCTTTCATACTGACCACAGATCGCCCATTCAACGCCTCTTATCCAATCTTCATGGCCAGGGAGTATTACTGTTTTCTGAAACTGAACGAAAATGCCTGTTACACCATACAGAAGTGTACTCAATTACTATGCACACAAGGTCAATTAGCTTTCAAATTTGTTTACATTTACAGTTTCTATTATTTGAAATTGAAAAAAAAAAAAAAAAAAGCCGCTATTAAATACTGTTATTTACTGACATATTCTAAATGGGCTTTTCTGTTTTGTTATCATTGCATGAACACATTCCATTATGCCACTTCCCATACACCAGCAGGAAAACATGAGAGTTGAAGAGTTCACCTCCAAGATGCTACAGACTTTCTATGATATTGATTGCATGTTATTTATTTTAAATAAATCATGCTTATAGTGGTAAACAAACACGATAAAACAATGCAGATGACACAGTAAATAATGATGCAAAGCAGATGCAGCTTCAGATGATGTAAAAAAATGAATATAGGTAAAAATTGAGCATAAAAAGTACAGATGCCAAATTTATTTCCATAATTAACTTTGAATATGATACCATAAGAATGACATAAGGGACCAGAAACATTCACTACCTCTCAAGTTTATTAACTAAGTTTCAAAGGGTGCTGTACATGAAGAACTGTATCTGTGGATAGATACCTCTTCATAAACATAACCTCAACACTTGAGATTCACAGTGACAATAACATAGTCCAGATTGCCCTTTGACAAATTTCATTAGTAGTATACTTCTATTTGTAACAGGTGGAATATTCCATTTTACAGACTGGAGGAAAGGGCTGACCTCAAGAATGTCAAAAAGGAAAAGTGCAAAGTCTGGAGAGGAATAACCCCAGGTTCCAGAATGAGCTTAACCAGAAAGGACCTGGGGATCCTGGTGGATACCAAATGAACATGAATTACCAGTATGCCCTTGTCTCTAAGAAAGCTAATGGTATTCTGGACTGCATTAAGCAAAGTATGGTGAGCAGATTCACAGGGGTGATCCTTCCCCTCAGTACCAGTGAAGCTAGACCTGGAGAAATATGTCCAGTTCTGAGCTCCTAAGTACAAGAGAGACATGGAACTCCTAGAGAAAGCCCAACAACGGATGACAAAGATGATTAAGGGACTGGTGCACCTCTTCAGTGAGGAAGGGCCGAGAGAGCTGGGACAGAGCAGGAGGCTCAAAGAAACATCAGTTGTATACAAGTAATATAAGGGAGGGTGCAAAGAAGATGAGGGCAGCCTCTTTTCAGTGGTGCCCAGTGATAGTATAAGAGGCTGCAGAGGTCCAAGTCTTTCTTTGCCAGACAGTAGATGTGATTTACCTCCTCTATCCAGCTGACAATCTTCTCAGAATTAGAAAGAAGCCAAATTATCTTTGGTTCTCTTACTTTGCTTTTCAACCAAAGCAAATTATTTGAGGGAAATCACTAAATATACACAACCAAATTTTCTTACAACCGCCAAGCTCAACATATGGGCATCGTTTTAAAGCTCTATTTTGATAGTATGGTTTGCTTTGCTTCCCCTTCATAGGACCATAACATCTCAAGCAGGAAGACAAAATTATTTCTTAGAGATTTTTCCCTAAGTACTTTTATAAATCAATAGCCTCTTTCAGGAACACAGAAAAGCAAAGAGACTGTTTACTTTCTACTAAACACTCTAAGGGATGTCCAAATGGAGGATCATCCACTCCATTTCAAAAAAGAAGCAGTTTTACAAATAGTGATATTTCAGCTGTCAAATTCATGGGATTACCCAAAAAGCAGCCTGACTCAACTAAAAAAAATAACCTGAAGATATCTCGCCCTTCCTCTGACTACAACAATGCCATCAGAGTTTCATTAGTACGTCCCATTGCCAATTTACATTCTACCTCTGTACTCATAGTCTTACTTAGATTTCTAAAAATTAATAGAGCTGAGCTATGGGACCTTACCAGCAAAGGAAGAATGTAGAAGTTCAGGTTCTAACTTCCCCCCAACATCAAGTTCTGCTGAAAAGTGACAGGACAATAACAACACTTCCCTCAAATAACTTTAAAAAAAAGAGCTATAGCAGCCATAAAAGATGTCAGCAAATCTGAGAGAATCTGACTGAAGAGGAGAATCTCCCTTTAGCAGCCAGGAAGGAATTTATGGCAGGAAACTCCAAGGATGTTTTCATTCTGTTAATAGCTGTAGTGTACCATACATGCATTTTTAATCAAAATGGAATCAAATATGTGCTTTTCACTTCACATTCACGTTTCAGGAAGACAGAACCAAACAGAAGCCTCACCTCACTGAGAGAGAGGGCCAGGGTGAATGGGATGAGGATTAACAAGGCCAAGTATCGGGTCCTGCACTTTGGCCACAACAACCCCATGAAGCGCTACAGGCTTGGGGATGAGTGGCTGGATGACTGCGAAGAGGAAAGGGACCTGGGGGTGTTGGTTGATGCTCGGCTGAATGTGAGCTGACAGTGTGCCCAGGTGACCAAGAGGGCCAACGGCATCCTGGCCTGCATTAGAAATAGTGCAGCCAGCAGGAGCAGGGAGGTGATCATCCCCCTCTACTCAGCACTGGTGAGGCTGCACCTTGAGTACTGTGTTCAGTTTTGGGCCCCTCACTACAAGAAAGACATTGAGGCCCTGGAATGTGTCCAGAGAAGGGCAACAAAACTGGTGACGGGTCTGGAGCACAAATCTTATGAGGAGCGGCTGAGGGAGCTGGGATTGTTTAGTCTGGAGAAGAGGAGTCTCAGTGGAGACCTCACTGCACTTTACAACTTCCTGAAGGGAGGATGTGGTGTAAAAGGGTTTGGCCTCTTCTCCCAGGCAAATAATAGGACCCGAGGAAACGGCCAGAAGTTATACCAGAGGAGGCTTAGGTTAGACATTAGCAGGAACTTTTTCTCTCAGAGGGTGGTCAGGCACTGGAACGGCTGCCCAGGGAGGTGGTGGAGTCACCGTCCCTGGCAGTGTTTAAGATGCGCCTGGATGAGGAACTATGAGATATGGTTTAGTGGCTTGTGGTACTAATAGGAATGGGAGGGTGGTTGGACTAGATGATCTTGAAGGTTGTTTCCAGCCTTACAATTCTGTGATTGTGTGATTCTGTGTGACAGAGACTGACTCTAAATTCCATCTCTGCCAAGGTAGCTGGTATGTGAAAATACTTCATAGAATTGAAGGTGTGAGGGGAAAAAGAAAAAGTCAATACAAAATTCCACACCTTTTTTACATGAATAATGTTTCCTACATCCAAAAATGACAGCAGTATAAACTTGCCTACATGAAGCTGGAGATTTAACTTATTTCAGTTACCTTCCTCGATCCATCCACAGACTGCAGTTAAGAATGCTGTTATCCTCAAAAGGCATACAGCAACTGGCAAAATAAGTTATGTATGTGTAAATATTTTGGACAGCTAAATTGCATATTGTTTGCTAATCTGAGTCATACAAAAAAAAAAAACCAAGATGCAAATTGTAAATATAAAAATTAGCTGCACAACACCTGATGTACATATCCTTCTTTAGCACTACTACACGAGCACATGAGTGCTAGTTCTTAGAGAATGTCATTAAACTGATTTAACTCATAAGCTACACACTGGGGAAAAAAAGAAAAGAAAAAACTTAGAAACTGACTCCATTTTCCTAGTTAGCAGTGAAGATATCACTGAACACAAGAAATAAAAGGATGAAGCATTTCTTTTATTGACAAAAAGTCTTCTTGTATATGACTACCTGAATAGGCAGAATAACCTATAGGAAGCTTAATCTTTTTTAAAAGGCCTATTCTTCAAAAATCCTGGGAGACTGTATTTGAGCAGAAAGTGAGTGGTTCCCATTTACGTTGGTTTTAGTTAAGGTTTTTGATTGGTAAATTCATTTGGGCTTTGGAGGAGGGTCCCTGGTTGTTCAACTTTTTTTAAAGGGACCGAAAAGAAAGAAGTGTCACTGACCTCTGGTGTGGAAGACAATTATGGAACACATTCTTTAGGGTCTAACAAAGCTGCTGAACAGACGCAAGAGGATAATTTATTTGTAGTGCACCAGAGGGAACACTTAACCATATGGAAGACTAAGTATTGTCAGCTTCCAAGTAATACATGAAAAATGTGTATGCCAAGAGAATATCAGATATCGTTTCAAATACTCGTTTAGTCATTCAGAAACATCCAGCACAAACAGCATACTTAACAACAAAAATACAATTCTACAGATGAAAATATCAGCTTTACTGCAACAATTCACAGACTGAAAAAAAAAAACCCTCATCATTTCCATATGAAACACTCAGCACATGGATACTGAGTAATCAGGGACAGTCATAACTATTCCTTGTCAGTGGGAACAAAAACTACAGGCTTCTTCACATAGGGAAATATTAGGAGGAATAACGCTTCTACTGGATCTGGGTTGAACATTCTGTACAAGAATTTCATCATTACCTAGAAGATGAATGAATTATTTGAACAGAGGTGGTTGCGTGCGATTGTTATCTGGAGACAGATAATAATTAGTGAAGAAATTAAAAAAAAAAAAGATACATATGAGAAGAAGCACTGTGTAATGTTCAAAGCAAGAGACAAAAAGCTGTAATTACCTGACCATTCTGCTGTATAAACAAGTTTATTTTGCAGTCATCACCACCACAAGCCAGTACTGGTACTGAAAATGAGGAAAAAAAAGTCTTCATTACTAAATTTACAAAATTTAGTGTTCTAGGATATGAGAAATAACAAATAAGAAAAAGCAATAAAACAATACAAATGTATAGTGGGCCAAGATACCACTGCTTTAACATATTCTAAATTAGATAATTAATATTGTATGAACGAAAATTTGGTATTTCAGGAACATAAAGCTCAGAAGTTCTTTTGGCACCTAAGTAATATCTGCAGATGTTTAATTTGAGTAGTTTTCTTCATGCTAACGCATCTCCAAGGAAGCTCAAGCACCAGAGATTTGTGTTGACAGCAACAAAATTAATACAAATAAACAGCATTTCCTCTAAATACAAAAGGAGCAAATAGCAAAACAAAATGACTCACAACTAAAACAGTTTGAGTCCTTGATCAACTGAAATGAGTATATGGATGGACACAGTTATACAGCAAATAAGAACGAAGACAGACTTACTACATGCAAGAATATGAAAGCAGTTAGCATTGTTACACATCTACTCGAGCTTTCAGCAGTAGGCAGCTCGTAGAAACTATCTAGGAATCAGGCAAAAAACACCAGTCTGTTGACTTGAGCAAACCAAAGTTAAGACTGAGGGAAAAACATGAGAAGGTAGGTAGAAGATGCTGAAGAAAAATAGTTAACACTTGCTCCAGTCCTTTTAGATCTAAAGATAAAGCAGTATTGCAAGGGACTGGAATAGTAAAAAAAAAAAAAAAAAAAAAAAGGAACAAATTAAAGAATTATGAAGAAATAGTTACCAAGGCTAGACAATTCATTTCTCAAGTAAGGGCAGATTACAAAACGCTGAGTTTCACTGAAGTCAGTTACTTCATTTTAAAAAAGTCATTAACATGAATTTTGAGAACCACTTTGAAAATGCCACAGTCAGACAGAATTATTCAAATTGCCTAGAAAAATTCAGCTGAAGTCTTTGAGTACAGGCAGAAGTTTAGGCTAATTCCCTAGGAAACAAAATATATGGCACAGGAGTCTGAAGTTGGTTAAATGAAAACCTGCTACACATGGGAAATTTTAGATTTTATTTTTTCCTGCACTGATATTCAAGATATGCTGCTCTACTTACTCACCACTGCTGCCAGGCAAGAAGGATAAGGAAACATCCATAACAAATCCATTTCCAAACTGCAGAACTTCAATGCATTTAACTGAAAAATGAGAACAGACACTGTTGAACTCATTCATCGTACCACAGTTACATTGCCATCTCTTTTTATATTACGTAGTTAAAATTTCCTGTTCAATTTTATTTTAAAGAGCTGCAAGACTTTTTTTTAAAAGCCATTGATTTTTAGAGGGAAAATTACCCTCAATTTCATTTTCTGTGGGCTCATGGCAATCCATCCAGAGTTAGCCAAATTACAACATAAGTCACTATTCTCCATCAAGTATTAAAACTGTACAGCTTCCTCCAGTAACACATCAGAAGCAATAAATATTCCAAATTACATCCAGTGGCAAAAGCATTCACTACAAGGAAAGCAAAAACTGAATTCTTTGCTACAAAAGCAGATAAAGATAGGAGCAAATCCAGCCTTCCTCTCTTCAGCCTTGAGATCCTAGGAAGCGATTAAACTGGTGAGCCACCGAGATCAGAGTAACAAACAGGATGGCAGAACAACTTTCCTACAGAAGTAGAATTAAAACGGAATTGTTTTTTCTGCTTCTGAAACCCACAACAGCAAGACCAAAAGGAAAGGATAGGACGTCGGTGTCCCCTGGGAGCATGAGAAATGCCTTCTAGAACATGGGGCTGAAGACTGGCAACTCCCAACTACTTATCTCACTCAATAAGCCAACGGGAAATCCTCAGTACCCCAGATAGCAAAGAAAGTAGGGAGAGATGTAGTCAACACAACTTGACAAGTAACACTTGATATCTAGATTATCCATCCTAATTATTCTCTCTGACCATACAATAAGCCTAGTTCAACAGAAGACCTACTATCCTATATTTCATTGGACTCAAGTCAGTAGTAACAAGTGACTAGTTTAACTTCACTTTTCTCATTCCAGCTTCATTTTACACAGTAATTTTATTTCACATAAGCAAACACAGAGCTAGCTTGTCCCATGTTACAAGGAAAAATGATGATCAGATTCTGAATGCAAATCAATAAGAGGCTGTTAAGTTCAGCCAACTCATCTGATAAAAAACAAAGATAAGTCATTCTGAGGAACAAATTTGACCCAAAACTGCTAAGCTTCTATAGCCCCCAGCTTTCAAAAAAAACAATGTAGTTAAGACAAAGCTTGAAGGGAAATCAATGTGGTTGCATTAGAAGATGTTAGTATTTAGCCAAGTACTTCAACGGATGAATATTCATCATTTTTATTAAGCCAGTATGTTGTCTTTCAATTAAAAAACAAAACATTGTCCCTAAATTTAAAAGAAAAAAAAACAAAAAACACCCTACTTTCTGAATCATGTCGAGACCAAATCCTCACAGTAGAGTCAGATGCTGCAGAAGCTATTAACAGATTTAAATCAGGTTCATCTGACTGGTAGACAGCATCCACAGCACAAACAGCTTCAGTATGGCCTTCGAGAGGAACGCTTTTCACAAGCTGAAAACATAAGAAAGTTTTATAGAGTCAAAAAAAAAAAAGTCAAGCACAATTAAACTCCAGCAAATTATCCATGAGAACTTTTAAAAACATTTTAAGGAAAGGAGGGGAAAAAAGAAACAACAATCCTTAGTACTGAAAACAAATTGTACATTTATGGTGGTGGGGCTTCTGCCAAGCTATGATTAAGCTGTAACACATTCTATAAAAAACAGAAAAGGGATACAGCAGTAATGAGCATGAACTTGACAAGTTCTCTTGTGTGCACTAGAAAAACTTCACCTTTCCTTGAGGCTGCCTGGATATATGATAGAAGTTAGGTTAGGATGAGCAGTTTTTCTTCCTTTTTCTCATTCACGTGCCCCTACCTATACAGGACATCTCCCAAAAGTACAGAGGACCTTAGCAATTTAGGCAAAATAGAGAACACAATGGAATAAGTAGCAGCTACAGCAGCTCTGTTCTGTGGGCTTTCACAAATCAAAGATTTCTTTAAAATACTGACAAAACCCAAATCTCTGAATTTAGACTTAAGTTTCTTAGGGAATTGATATTTTGTAATCCACTCCTCATAAATACAAATAGCAAAACGAGAAGCTTTTAATTCTCAAACTAGAAGAAGTCTAGCTTTTATCCAAATTGTCATCACTTTCCAAAAGATAGCTTAGTAAGCCCTAGTAACATTTCTAATTGGTTCAATTGAGAACTTTGCTTGTTTAACGTACACTTGTATAGAACAGTCATTTAAATGTGCAAATTTAGTCACATTCTTTTTCAAAGGTTTAAATGAGGCTGTGCACATTAATGGAAGAAGTTACTAAATAAATCTGTACATTATTTTACATCAATATGTTAAAAGTTACAACAGATGAAAAACAGAAATTACTCATTTCCAAGAACATTCCTCCAATAAACAAGACTGATAATGATCACTATATGGACACTTTCCCCCATTGTGTTACTATGTTCATGCATTTTAAAACATAGTCAAAAGTAGTATGAGATAGCCTCTGAAATAGGTTATCTACACAACATTCACAAGCAGTGCTTAATATTTTAAAAATAAGTTATATAACACACCTTTTCCTACATTTCAGCCCATTCTGAAGTCTGTTATGTCACACTTCATCTTCTTCCTTCCATTTTTACAGTATGAGTAATACATAAGCAAGCCTTTTTACTTGTCTCAACATTTTTGACTGAAATCAACTGTTGCAGAAGTGCTTTTTTAAATACCTATCCTACCTCGTGTATCACCCTTGTCAGACTGCCTGTGTATAAAACACAGTCATGCAGATTGAAACCACTAAAAAAATCAATGTAAAGAAATTAGAAAGAAGGACACATAAAACATACCAAAAATGAACTTCAGAGTATCAAGATATTACAGCAGTTTAAAGAAAAGTTGGAGAGGAGAAAGTTGAAAACTCATAATCAGACAAATAGGGTATTTTAGACAAGCTAGACAAATCCACATGATGACTGGTTGGCTGATCTCAAAAAAGATTAACTACAGAAGAGAAGAAACAACATTTAGGTTAAATCATAGCATGATATAGTATCAGCAGTCTAGAGGAAATGCACATGGAGCTTCAACTGTCATAGTGCAATAAAGAGGTACAAAAACTACAGGCAAAACAAATAATTTGATTTGAGGTATACAAAAAAAAAAAAAAAAAAAAAAAAAAAAAAAAAACAAGGAAAAAGGGAGGAGAGAGAAGCTTTAAAAGGAGGATATTTCTACTTACCTGATCATTCCAAACTCCTGTCCCATTCCGCTCCCAGAGAATGAGCTTTTTATCAGATGCACCAGAAACTAACTCAGTTTCAGTTGCTAAAAAACACATTCCACAACTTTTGTGAGCTCTTACTTTATAACAGCGGTCAGCAACACAAAGCAGTTAAATTGTTTACTGCTTACATAAGTAACTACTTATCACAGTTATCAATTATACACAAAGTTCTCATTAAAATAAAGTATGAGCCATGAAAGTTGCACAGTACATGAGAACTCAAGAGCAAAAGAATTACTCAAAATAGGTAGAGAAGAATTACAGAAATACTCAACACTTCATATGAATATGATGGATATCTTTCTAAAAAGATTCTCAAATGCAACAGAGTAATTTAATATGTTTGTCTTTTTGAGGAACAGGAAAAAAAAAAACAAATAAAACAACAAGAAAGCAAGAAAATTATGACTCCACAGAACATGAACCTTCACATGAAAACTTAATTTCAGGCTGTATGAGCTTTAACAAGACCAAGTGCCAAGTCGTGCACTTTGCTCTCAACAATTCCACGCAATACTGCAGGCTTGGGGCAGGTGGCTAGAAAGCTGCATAAAGGAAAAGGATCAGGTGGTACTGGTCTATACTCAGCTGAACATGAGCCAGAAGCATGCTCAGGTGGCCAAGAAGGCTAATGGCATTCTGACTGGCGTCAGAAATAGTGCAGCCAGCAGGAGCAGGGAGGTCATCATCCCTCCCTCTACTCAGCTCTGATGAGATTGCACCTTAAGTACTGCATTTAGTTTTGGGCCCCTCACTACAAGAAAGACACCAAGGCCCTGGAACGTGTTCAAAGAAGGGCAACAAAGCTGTTGTGGAGTCCAGAGCACAAGTCTTATGGGGAGCAGCTAAGGGAACTGGGATTGTTCAGCCTAGAGAAAAGGATGCTCAGGGGAGACCTTATCACCTTTTATGACAAGAAAGGAGGTGGCAGCAAGATGGGGGTCAGCATCTTCTCCTGCATAACTGGCGATAGGACAAGAGGGAATAGCCTCAAATTGCACCTGGAAAGGTTCAGATTGGATATCATGGAAAATTTCTTCTCGAAAAGAACAGTAAGGCAGTGGCACAGGCTGCCCAGGGAGGCAGTGGCACAAGCTGCCCAGGGAGGCAGTGGACTCACCATCCATGGAGGTGTTCAAGGAACATGAAGATGGGGCACTGAAGGACAAGGGCAGTGGGCACGGTGGGGATGGGCTGAAAGCTGGACTAAATTATCTTACAGTTCTCTTCTAACCTTTATAACTATATGTTGCCAAGTTCTCAGAAAACAATTTGTTTTACTTAAAAACCACAGAACAAGAAAAGACACACACAGGCACAAAAAAATAGTATTAATATAGAAAAAAAAAATAGAAAACACGTAAGTGTAACCATTTGAAAGGATGCCAGTTTATATCTTTATTAAGGAGGAACGGCTTCACCTCAGTGCTTAGCAACACTCCCCTCCAAAACAAACATAGGCACAATATAATAAGAGTCTGACAAGCAGCCCCACTCCCTTTCCTCAAAAAGCTTAAGGACAGGAACACGTGCCTTCAAGAACTGCACTCAGTAACTTTAAAACCTGGAATTACCACAAGGGCCCCGCAGGCCTCCCATACCACCTACTCACCGCCGTCCCGCCGCCGTGCCCAGCGCACGCAGTTCACCCTGCCGCCGTGCCCGCGGAGCGCTGCTACCGTCCGCCTGGCCTGCGGGATGAGGAGAAACACCCGGTGTTAGGCCGCGCCGCCGCCAGGACGGCCCCACCACGCCTCCCCACCCCGCTCACCGCCGGCTGGTAAAGTATGACGTCCCGGCAGCTGCCGAAGGCGAGGAGCCCCTCGCGGCCCCAGGACACGGCCCCGCCGCCCACCCGGTTGGCGCAGCAGGCGACATGGCATACGGAGACGGGCGCCGCCATCTTTCCCCGCCGGCCACGTGCGCAGCATGGCGCAGTTCCTATAGCAACGACCAGTCACCATGTTGCTGTGGCCTCTCCGAGCGTGCGCGGGTGGCGGCGCTGGCGTTGCGGCCGTGGAGCCGAGCCGAGCCGGCATTCCTCGTAGGGCTGGCCGAATGCTGGGTCCTTCCCGGTCAGTTTGGCGGCAGGCATGGAAATGAAGCGTAAACAGAAGGGAAAAGGAAGTTGTTTTTGTTTTCTGTGCCTGTGTTCAAACACTCGCTGGTTCCTGCGGCATTGTGAGAGCTTAAAACTTTTCTAGGTTCGTTTCTGTTTACTTTCGACTGTGTGCATCCAGGTGCTGTGGCTGCCTGTACACCGAAAGGAGTGCACAGATATGCGAAAAGGATTTGCTGGGGCTGAAGGCTTTCGTTCAATAAATGCAAACGTTGCTTACAGACAGAAGATAGCTACGTTAATCACAGATGGGATTGGGTGCAAGGAGGGCTGAGGTTTCTTTTGTTTTTCTTGTTTGGCAATTTGTTTATGAGCTTGCCATCTTCTGTTTACACCTCTCAGAATGATTTCAGATGCTTTTGTGAAGTATCCACCCAATATTTCACATTTCACTCTTCTTCACAAGGAGAGTAGTTAGGCCCTGGAACGGGCTGCCCAGGGAGGTTGTGGATGCCCCATCCTTGGACGTGTTCAAGGCCAGGTTGGACGGGGTCCTGGGCAACCTGATCTGAATGTGTATGTTTGGTGGCCCTGCTAGGCAGGGGGGTTGGAACTACATGATCCTTGAGGTCCCTTCCAACCCGGGTGATTCTGTGATTCTGTGATTCTGTGATTTTGGATGTTAGAAGTCGCTTCCTGCTACTAAAGAATTCTAGATCTTTTTGTCCTTGGGGATGGACGTTAATATGATTGAACCTGTCATATCTGAGAATAGAATCACAAAATCATAAAACCACTGAGGTTGGAAAAGACCTCTAAGACCATCTAGCTCAACGTCAGCCCACCTCCACCATGCCCATTGACCACGTTCCTCAGTGCCAAATCCACATGGTTCTGAACACATCCAGGGATGGTAACCCCACCACTTCCCTGGGCAGCCTGTTCCAAATATATCACTGCTCTTTCAGAGCAGAGATTTTCCCCAATATCCAACCTGAACCTCTCCTGGCACAGCTTGAGGCTGTTATCTCTTGTCTCATTGCTGTCATCTGGGAAAAGAGGCCAACCCCCCCCACCTCCTTTCAGGCAGTTGCAGAGAGCCATCAGGTCTCTCCTCAACTTCTCCAGACTGAACAATCCCAATTCCCTCAGCTGCTCTTCATAAGACTTGTACTCCAGATCCTTCACCAGCTTTGTTGCTCATCTCTGAACACACCCCAGAGATACATCTGTCCAAGAAAGAATTACAAAGCTAAGTCACTGCCTGCGGACTGTGTTTAATATTCCAGATTATTATGATGTTCTGGATAACTGCCATAGAAATCAGAGGAATCTGCAACTAAGCAACAGCGGAAGTACAATGGGCTGATTTGAATGTGTCTGAGTATGCCTATTTTTCAAGACAGAAGACAGATCATAGCAGATTAGACTCCATCCATTACATTTTTCTTTTGTGATTTATTTACGTATTTATTGCCCTTTCTGCCCAGGAGATTGAAACCAAATCAAGACAGATCAAAAGACAAAAAATCAAACAAGCAAAAAAAAAAACCTGTCTAAAATTGTAGTGTTATTTGCATGGTATCTGTCCTAAATAAATGGAAAGATTGGAGCTTGATATAAATGTATTACTTTGAAACAGAAAATGAGAAAATAGCTGTGGGACAAGGAGGGGGGGGTAAGCTATAAGGGGAAATTTAGGTTAGATTTTAGGAAAAAAAATAATATTTCCTCAGAGGGCAGTGAGACGCTGGCACAGCTGCCCAGAGAAGCTGTGGCGCCCCATCCCTGGAGGCACTCAAGGCCAGGCTGGATGGGGCCCTGGGCAGCTGAGCTGGGGGGGGGGCAGCCCTGCCCACAGCACAGGGTGTGGATGGGTTGGCTTTGAGGGCCCTTCCAACCCAAACCATTCTGTAATTCTGTGACTGCCTACACATGTCCTGTGCATCCTATCCCCAGGGAGCGCCTGCAATATTCTGAAATAATTAAAGCTGCTCTGAACAAGCAAAGCTGAGAAGTCTGTGGTGGAGGGAGCAGACAGCTCTCCTGGCTGTGCAGAGAGAAGTCAAGTGGGAAAGGAAGCAGCAGAAGGCAAAGAAGCAGGTGTGCAGAGGAAGCAGCCTCTGCACTGCACACCAAATCCTCTGGACCTTAAACCACTCCTGCATGGCGTTTCTCTCCCAGTATGCCTGCATGTTCTTGGGTACTGGCTGGCAGCAGCTTGGCAACCTGACAAAAATGTTGCAGCTGGGCACAGCTTTTCCTAGTGGGTGCAAGAGGAAAGACGCTGTGCCTGATCAGGAGCAAGATACAACAAGAAATGTTGGCTGCTAAGAGAATAAATGTCTGTACAAAATGCATGGATCCAGTCATCAAAGCATGCTTTAATGGACAAGTGCCATCTGGAGAATGGTTACACAGCAGCCAAGTTGCACAGCAGCCCCCTTTCAGTGTGCCCTGACAAGGTTGGAGTAAGGGCTCTGGCAGAAGGAGGTCAGGCTTTGCCAAAAAGCTGAAGTTATGTTTGCAGTTGTAGGAATGAAGCTGGGTCTGGCTGCACTTGTGGACATAGGCATAACGTTTTCCAAGACACCTTTGGGTTGGGGATTCCTCTGTGACATGAAAAGTTTCCTGATGATGATGCCCCCAGATGGAATAAATCAGCACAGAATTTGGTCTTGCAAGTCCTGTGAGGAGTACTGTAACAGGACTGCAGAGTAATGGCTAAATAGCAATGCAAGCTGAGGCCATTCCGTTCAGATCAGCCTAAACATGCCCATTCTCTTCCATACTTTCAGTAATTCATATATCTGAGCAAGTCCTCAATCTCACTAG